AAATGACTCCTTTGATATAAGGGGAGTAAACAAGGACAGGGTAAGGAGGAAGAGCTTGAGAAGAAGATTTACATTAAACAGGGATGAGAGGTGGGAGGGAAAGGGAGTGAGAAGGGAAATCACATGGAAATGGAAGGCGATCCTCAGGGTTATACAAAATGACATATAAGAGGAAGTGAGGGGTAAGACAAGATAATACAAATGGAAGAAATGATTTACAGTAGAAGGGGTAGAGAGAGAAAAGGGGAGGGGAGGGGAGGGGAGGGGAGGGGGGATAGTAGAGAATAGGACAGACAGCAGAATACATCAGACACTAGTATGGCAATTTGTCAATCAATGGAAGGGTAACTGATGTGATTCAGCAATCTGTATATGGCGTATAATTGGGAGTTCATAACCCACTTGAATCAAATTGTGAAATATGATGTATTAAGAACTATGTAATATTTTGAAAGACCAATAATAAATAAAAAATAAATAAAAATAATAATAAAAAAAGAAGTCAGTAAAAAAAATAAAAAATAAAAAAATAAGTTCTGTTAAATCCCGGGGGCCAACCGGCCACGTGCTATTGTTACCAAGTATACATTCTTTCAAAATACCTGAAATACATTCTTTCAAACAGTATGTCAATATGCTATCTAAAGAAATTATGTTAACTCTAAGTTTAGTAAGTTCCCCAAAGTACAATTTCTTATGATGTGAATTGAAATTATAGATTTTGATTTTTAAATATTTGTGCCATTTCATTATAACATAGTGATAGATCAGTGTACACAGCGATTAATTTCAAGTTGCTTATGGCATGAGATAGATTAGGTTATAATAGTGATCAACAGCAGAATAACTGCCTCCTACCATGTTTTAGAAATTTAATGAAAGCAGGCCAACAGTGGAAATAGGATTCTCTACCACCACCCATCTTATGAAAGAAAAGGAAATGTCTTTATAGTAAGACTCTTTTTTGGCTCATCTTGAGGAAACTACTTACAGCATTAGGTAAAGTGAGCCAGAAAGGCTGAGGACAATATTGCTAAATATTTCCTTGTTTGAATATTTTTAATTGTATGATTTTTTTTTTTGAGCATTTTAAAGAGGCTTCAGTTACCAACTTCTTACTGTGCAGATCCTGCAAAATGCAGAGACCCACAGGAGACAGTACCTACTGGGACATCCACAGAGGCTTCTGACTGCAAATCCACGTGGGGAGGGCAGTAACACCTTCAGCCCACCCCCGAATTCTAGACAAGTCACCAAGGCCTGCACTAGGGTACCTTTTCACATGGATGAGGAATGAGGTTGTTTATGGAGTCTTGTTTATTAAGTCTTATGTTTGTTAACTCTGATGTATTTCCATTGAAATATTTTCCTTTCCTCCCCATTCTACCAGTTTTTAGTAAACAGAGACTAGGAAGGCTAGCTCTTTACTGTGGTTGAACATGGAGCAACCAAACTTATCTTGTCTGTCAGAGAGCATGTGATTCAGAGGGAATCCTTTTAAAAACAGTCCCTCTACAACTACAAAAAAATTTTTAAAAAAGATAGTTGTGGGATACAGTCAACTCAGACCTCCATGTACTCATCTTGGATTTTTCAAGATAGAAAGGAACACAGGGGGGGCTGGGGATGTGGCTCAAGCGGTAGCGCGCTCGCCTGGCATGCGTGCGGCCGGGGTTCGATCCTCAGCACCACATACCAACAAAGATGTTGTGTCCGCCGAGAACTAAAAAATAAATATTAAAAAAAATTCTCTCTCTCTCTCTCTCTCCTCTCTCACTCTCTCTTTAAAAAAAAAAAGAAAGAAAGAAAGRAACACAGGGGTTAAGATCATGAGCAACAGGGGTGGAGGAGAGGAGCTTCCAGGGACAAGGCCAGGCAAGGCTTGGGGGCTAGAGTGGGCGTTTTTAGTTCCTTAGGGTACTAACTTCTGATTCTTCTTATTCCAGATGCAAAGGTCCATGAATCAGGGTCCTTGCCTCTACCTCTGCCCACATGGCAGAGTGTTGGCTAGAAAGAGGACTTCTCTGAGTTAGGGCTGTGTGGTGGTCCCCAGTGTGCTGTCCACTGCTGAATGGAAAAGCACTGGCCCTGGACCTAGACAGCCTGGACAGTCACTCAACCTTTGATCTTGCCTGAGCCTCCTCCCTCTGTGCTGCGAGGACTGGGTGATGTGAAAGCAGTTTGCACAACGTATAAGCACTAGTGAGACGTGAAGCATAGGCTAGTGTTACAGATAAGAGATTTGGGCTGAGATGCTTTGTAGAGGGAGACTGTGAACTGCCCAATGTGTTTCATCTGCAGAGAAGACAAGTCAAGCAGAATGTGATTTAGGAAAAAAATCTCCTAGTAGAAAGAGTGAGATTAAATTTCTGTTGGAAAGGCTAATTTCTCTTTTGCTTCCTTGATGAAACAGGAGAATTAAGAATTAAATGAAAAGATAATCCTTTCAAAGTCCCAGAAGATGGATTTGTCTGTTTCTGTCTGCTGTTGAGCTAGTTGCTATGACCCGCCAGTGGCATTACCATGCCCTAGTGCGACAGCGTTATGAAGACGTGCAGAATCCTGTTGTTTAACTAAAGGTAACCTCCTTCTGTGTGGCCTTCCATTTTAGATTCTCACTTAACTAAGAGAGTGTATAGAAAGTATCACAAGCTTGTGTCCTCTGGAACCTGCTCTCCAGATCATCAGGGACAGGGCCCTTGCTGCTAGGAACAGCTGTCTTGACCAGGGGGAGCTGGACTTGGTGTTCTTTAGGGAGACAACTTTCATGAGAAACCTTTGGGTTGTTGGGGAGCATGTATACCACCAGGGCTGTCGAGAGCAGCCAGGCCTAGGGGGCATGTTTGGGAGAGTGTGTGAACCAACAGGAGGGACAGTGCCCCCCAACCTGTGTGCCATGAAGATGATTTAATTCAACCAGTATCAAGAAGTAATGTCAAAATCTTTCTCCATGGAATGCTAGAATCCTAGCAGTGGAAAGCTGAGGAGTTGTTTCAGCTCCATGGAATCCTGAAGCAACCTGTGAGAGCTGTTTTGGGGAATCATTTGCTGAACCAAAACATTCTGGATCCACAAATGAAGAACTGCTACTGTTATGGTTTAGATGTGAGGTGTCCCCTAAAAGCTCATGTGTGAGACCATGAAAGAGGGTTCAGAGGAGAAATGACTGGGTTGTGAGAGTCTTAACCCAATCAGTGAATTAATCTCCYGATAGGGATTAACTGAGTGGTGACTGAAGGCAGGTGGGGTGTGGCTGGAGCAGGTGGGACTTGGGGCGTGGCTTTGGGGTATACATTTGTATCTGGCAAGTGGAGCCCGCCCTCTCTGCCTCCTGATGGCCCTGTGAGCTGCTTCCCTCTGCCACACTCTCCTGCCATGACATTCTGCCTCACCTCAGCCCCGAGGAACGGAGTCCACTGTCTATTGATTGAGACCTCCGAAACTGTAAATAAATAAACTCTTCCTCCTCTACAATTGTTTTGGTCGGGTCCTTTAGTCCCAGCAATGAAAAAGCTGACTAAAACACTGTGTTTAAACCACTTTAAATTGTACTCAATTTGAAATGAATCCACCCTAAGTGAAAGAAGCAGGACGGCAGGTAGGTCTGAATTAATTTTTTTAGTCATGGCCTTTGGTTACAAGGACCTTTAACTCTGTGGTAACATATGCTCCTTATTATACCATCAAATTTTATTCATTTTTATCTGTTAAACATTTTTCTTTGAAGTCTACTTTACTATTTAATTCCCAAATTAGATTTTGAGTTTTCACATAAAAAGTTCATTTTGATTTTCCCAAACCCATTATTGATATAAGCTTGGTTTTTGGTGCAGATGAAAACATGCTCAGTTCTTTTTGTTGTTGTTGTTTTGTTTTGTTTTTTGGTATGGGGATTGAACTCAGGGGCACTTGACAACTGAGCCACATCTCCATCCCTATTTTGTATTTTATTTAGAGACAGGGTCCCACCTAGTTGCTTAGTGCCTTGCTTTTACTGAGGCTGGTTTTGAACTTGAGATCCTCCTGCCTCAGCCTCCTGAGCTGCTGGGATGATAGGTGTGGGCTACTGCTGCGCCCACACTCTCAGTTCCATGTCAGAGAAAGGTCGTTTTCCATTTGTGCACTTCCAGGAGTTCTAACTCCTAGATGATCTTCCCCTGAAGACATGCATGTTTTCCTGAATTGCTTTCTTTGTCATTTTGTGGTATATAATCATGGGAATCATATTCATGCTATGATAGTTAAATTAGGCACAGAAAGAAAAGCAAATTTCCTGAATTAAAACATATAATCTTATGACCAGTAGATAAAGTTTATGTCACTGGAACACTATCACTCTTGATTTTATAACAAATACTAGCTCTATAAAACTAGAAGATTAGTTACATTGTGCTCTACATGTTTAATCTCAAAACTGTGTGATCTTATAATTATTAAATGAAAGTGAACATCTTCATGAATATGTCTGAATATCATGAGCTGCATTTCATACCAGTTAGCCAAACTTACTGAGAACTGTCATTTTCTTCAGTTCTAATGAAGGCAAAAATACCCAACAAATAACCAGCCTTTAGAAATAAGGACATCATCCACTAATTCATAAACAATTGTCAATATTATTACCCAGTATGATTCTATCTCATATCACTTGTATATGGTACCAAAGCTTGTCCCAGGCCTGGGGTTGTGGCTCAGTAGCAGAGAGCTTGCCTTGCATATGTGAGGAACTGGGTTTGATCCTAAGCACCACATAAAAATTAATAAACAAAATAAAGATATTTTGTCCTTGTAAAACTAAAAAAAAAAAAAAGCTTGATCTCAGCAATCTCATATTTTATGTAGAAATAACATGAAAACTAAACTGAAATTCTTCTGGAAAATACTTCAGAATAATGCCTTATTTCATGTTCATAATTACTCATAGAGTTACATAAAACATAGTAAAGCATGGTTCRTTTGAAAGTCAATAGTCAAATTCAAAAATACCTTTCTATTACTAGGTTGCCTACTGTGTCTCTGGCTGGTACAACAAAAGTGCATACAGAAGAGCACCTCCCCGGCATGGCCCTGGAAGGCAGCAGGAGGCCTGCAGAATGCAGAAGCCCAGGCCCCGACGGCTTGTCAAGGCACAGCAGGGCTTCCAGGGGGAGTGTGGACTACAGCAGGTCTCAGTGCTCCTGCAGGAGCCTGAGCTCCCACTACGACTATTCAGAAGACTTTGTCTCTGAGTGTTCAGAAGTAGCTGCCAGCAGGAATTTTTTAGGGCAACCTATGGCCACAGAAAAGAAAGAAGAGAATAAAAAGTATACTGCTTCTAAAACCACCCAGCTCACAGGTAAGAGGCAAGATTTCTCAGCCAAGGCTGGATTCCTGGTTATAATAATGTTATTAACAAACTAGTATTTTGAAGCAGTCCATGTTGTGTTTTGCTAACTTTCCATATTATAAATGTGTATTGAAGGTAAACTTTTATGGAAGGAAATGGGAAGCAAAGAATTAAGGATAATTACAAAATAATAGAAAGTTTTAGCCRGGCACAGTGGTGCATGCCTGTAATCCCAGCAGCTGGGAGGGTAAGGCAGGAAGATGGTAAGTTCAAAGCCAGCCTTAGCAACTTAGGCCCTAAGCAACTTAGCGAGACCCTGTCTCAAAATTTTTTAAAAAATAAAATAAGAAGGGGTCAGTGGTTAACCACCCTCTGGGTTCAATTCCTGATATCAAATAATAATAATAATAAGGTTTAAAACATGAAGTCTACTCCTCACATGGCTTACCCAAATGGAGCCACCTAGTGAGGCTGGTTCCATTTTCAGTTAACAGGTGGCCTTGTTACAGAGTACCACAGTACTTGGATTTCACTGGCTTCTTGCCTTTCATCTCAGCTGAAGAACCAAGGTTTGAACTGCCAATGAAATACAAATGCCTGTCTCAACACCCCAAGAGGACGGTCGCCAAGACTGGTGAGGCACATTGGCGAAGCCATCTTCTGAACCAGAAAGGTTCAAAAGGCTGTTGTTAATAACTACCAACTCCACCAACTCCTGCCTGTCCCGGTTGGAGTCAGCCTTGTGACTGACCCCTCCCTCCTGCATCCCTGTCCCAGCTTGCATTCCTCCTGTAGGAGCAGCTGGGACTTTGTCACTCTGGCCATCAGTGCACCCTGGCCAACAGCTGGACATGCTTGAGAGCCTGCCCTTGGGGGGCTCACCTGTCCCTGCCTCGCTTACCCAGGGCCTTTCCTCCCCAGCTGCTATGACCAGGTGTGTCCAGGATCCTCTGAGCCACTTCTGGGACCTCCAGACTGGAGACCCTGTCTCCAAATAAAAATCATCCTTCTTCCTAGCTACAGAGCAGAGATTCTTCAATAATTTTTTTTTTTTAATCTTCGGGCATTTGTTGTCTTTTATAGGGAGAAGGGTTTCTCCAGACACCCAAGAGGTTAAAAGTCCCTTTCTAAGATGAGGGAATGGGCCTTCAAGGCCCATCACAAGGCTCTGGGCAGAAGAAGAAAAGTCTGCTTCCCTCTCATGGTGTGGCTCTGTCCAAGAAGTCTGCAATGGCATTTGGAAGAGAGCACAACAGAACACCTGCTGGGTCCTGCCGTTATACAACCCTTATCCACATCTGAAATTTCAAATCTCTAAAAACCCAACCTCTAGAAAAAATATTTATTTGGAAAAAAATTGATTTGAATTTACATGAAAGTGATCTTCATTTATCTTATTTAGTGAATAGTTATATATTTTGCCATAAAAATATTGTTTGAGCTAAGCATGGTGGCAGTTGTCTGTAATCCCAGCCACTCAGGAGGCTGAGGCAGAAGGATAGCAAGTTTGAGGCCAGCCTCAACAGTTTAGCAAGACCCTGTCTCAAAATAAAAAATAAAAAGGATTGATGATATAGCTCAGTGGTAGAGCACACTTGGGTTCAAGCCCTAGTACCAAAAAATAAGATAGATAGAGCAAGCCCAGGAGTTAGGGACCAACCCGTGCCAACACAGTGAGACCCTGTCTCAAAAAAAAAAAAAAAAAAATCTAAAACAGCCTGTCTCAAGGGCTTATGATAAGGGATCCTAGATATATACATTATATTTTACATAAATTCTAAGCTTTTAAGGAACTATTTAAGAATGCAGTTGGTGTCCATAAGACTATTTCTATAAGAAACTTCACCTTATAATTTAGCTTTTTGAAACTGACTTCTTGTTTATTTAGTCTACAAATATATATTGAGTACATTATGCTCAAGATACCAATTCATAAACTGAAAGCAACCCAAATTAATTCAGTCACTTCTCAGGAGACTAGAGTCGTAAATTCCATTATCCAGAAGAGCAAAAKATTGACTCTTACTTGGACATCATTGCATGTTTATTTGATATTCAGTTATTATTTTTAAACAAATCTTGTGTGCATCTTGAGGACCCTTGCACCAGTATATAAAGAACCTGAAACACTAATTGTAACTCAAAGTTTTGTCAGAGTGATAAATTATTTTTTGGTGGTTTCTTTTATTTTTCTGTTCCCATACAGCTTGTGTTTTACAAGTGTTTGCTGAAGTAACTTAAATAGCAAGTAATTTGTTCCACTCTAGGGTGATACAATTCTAACCGAAAGCAAAGAGAGGCTTAATGTGTTATTAGTCAATGTGGTCTMTTCCCCAGTGAATTTTCAGTGTCTTTTAAGTTTTCTGATATTAAAAGTAGATCTCTGAGTCTTGAGGGGTGGTAACATAGGATTAGAATCATCAATATAGACCAGGATTCACTAAAGAACAGTAACATTAGAGAGTAGTTTCAATTCCCAAATAAGAAAATTGAGAAAAGCAGATTTCATGGCATAAAGACCATTTCTGAGATAAAATCTTGAGAATGAAGCGAGGATTTCAGTTTGTAGGATTTTTTGCTTTGGTCAAACACTAGAGATTTACTTAAATCATTGTAATAGCAAGAAACATATTTCCACAGTTTGCTATTCAAAAACTGTTTCCTTCTTTTGTAGAAAAATGTACTTTCAAAATATATTCAATTAGCATATTCTGTTAATTAGAAAATTGCTTCCTTTGATATACGTCCTTGTCAAGACAGTGCCAAAATGTGTGATTGTCATTCAAACCATTGGTATGCCACAAAAGGGGCTACTGCACTAAGTTGCTCAAGACCCCTTTGCTGTGGTCCTTGGCCAGGCAGAGGGGAAGACCACGATCTGCGGGAAAGACACCCTCTCTCAGACTGAACACAGAACTGCAGAGAACGACAGGGACAGGCCCTCCCTTTGAACCTCTGCATCCCTGGTCCACGGAGGAAGTGGACCCATCCTTTTGTAAGGGGAAATATAGTGTAGATCAGGAAGAGGGAGAGAAGAGCCTAAATAAGGCCCCAGCCAGCCCAGGAGAATGGGAATGTGATTCAGGATACCAGAACAGCAAAGGTGTGGGGACCATGGGGCTGCAGGGGGACAGTGTGACGAAAGGGAGAGGGACCAAGGAAGACAAAAGAGTGGCTCCACAGAGTACAGGAGGACAGCAGCACTTTACAAAGAGGGGCTGGGCCAGGCGACCCAAGGAAGGGGCTTGGGAAAGACGCCAGCAAGAACAGAGAGGGAGCTTGGGGGCAAGGTGTTGGAGCCCATTGTAAGTAACGTGAAGTGCCTTTGGGCTAATGTATGTATTTTTGTGCATTAAGTTAATGTGAGTGAGTGTTTTAGCTCATCAGATTAAGAATTAGTTATCCTAAGAGTAGTATATTTGGTTCAATGTGCCTCATTGTGTGAAATAGGATCAAAACTATATATCAGGGCTGGAGTGTGGCTCAGCGGTAGAGAGCTGGTCTCACATGCATGAGGCATGGGTTCTATCCTCAGCACCACATAAATAAATAAAAGTATTGTACCCATCTACAACTAAAAAAAAAAAAAAAAAAAAAAAAGTCTTCAAAAGAAACTGGGCTAGGGATATAGCTCAGTTGGTAGAGTGCTTGCCTCTTGTGTACAAGGCTGTGGGTTCAAACCTCAGCACCACAAAATCAAACAAAACTATATATCAAACCATTCTTATTATGTGTAGTTAATAATAATTCGATATAAAACCATTAAGGATTAAATCCTATTCCAGTTTTCCATAACCTCTGTAGTCAACAAGTGTGTGCCATGTATATACAGTGTGAACTTGCTGTATACCACCAAATTCGAGTGGTACCTGAGGGCCGCTGACAGACAGGAGCACATGGGGAAGGCAGGGCCTCTGGTCTGCCGTCTCCGTCCCTCACCTCCCTCTTCAGAGCACCCACACCTCTGTGCACACCTTGACTCCTGGGGCCTGGGCCGCAGTCCCCAGGCCCTCTCACATTCTTCTTCTACCCTCCAGTCATCAAGGTGGCGTGGAAGGAGGCAGAACCCCCATGCCCACGGAGTGCACTGCCCTCCTCCTCGTCTCAGGGATTCCCCTCGCTGCCCAAGAACTGGAAGACATGACAAGCTGGGGGCAAGTGTGGTCATGCTGGCAATGGCACAGGATGTGTTGCCCCGTCCATCCCTGTTTTAATCCAGCCTGATCCACACTGCCTTGTCTGGGACTCCCCTTGTCTCTGCCCAGGGTACCAAAGCACGTGGCCTCCACCCAGGCACAGACACCATCCTCCTAGCAGGTCCCAGAGGGTGCCTGTGCTCTTTTCTACTTTTTAATGTGCTCTAAACCGACTCCAAAACACTCGAATATTCCCCCACAGCCGCTTCCCAGTGAGAAAACAGGTGCCTCAAAGGCACTGCTGCAGACAGTCCATCAGTTATTGATGGGATATCAATGCTGTGATTGCTATGAATCTCCTCAGAAAGCAGGCTTTGTGTCTGCCAGTTGACTTCCGTCACGGGCAGAACTGTCCGTCCCGCCACCCAGGCCAAACACAGTACCCACGTCTCAGTGTGTCCCTGTGTGTGCCAATAGCTTCAGGTTAGGACTCCATGACCCTCTCCAGAATGAGGACCAGGTTATTTTAGATTTTAGAATCCATTGCCAATTTCCCTTCTTCAGAATATGAATATGTTTACAGGTAGACAAATGCAAACATATTTACATATACAGGGGCACTTGGACGCATACACATATAGCGTACAAGTCCACGTGCCCCTGGGGCAGAAGCATGGGCATGTAGACTGTGGGTTCTCACCACAGTGCTGAGCAACTCAGTGAGACTCTGTCTCCAAATAAAAAATAAAAAGGACTTGGGACAAAATTGCATTAATGATTTGGCAGGAGGAGGTGCCAGGGACACTCAGCCACTGAGCCACATCCCCAGTCCTATTGTATTTTATTTAGAGACATGGTCTCACTGAGTTGCGCAGCACCTCACATTTGCTGAGGCTGGCTTTGAACTTGTGATCCTCCTGCCTCAGCCTCCTGAGCTGCTGGCATTAATGATACACACACACACACACACACACACACACACACACAAATACATAGCCTAAAAGCATATATATTTATTAGATATTAGCTCTTTCCCCTTCTAGTTATGCTTATGTTTATGCATGTATATTGTGGGGGGTACACATATGTATATATTTGCATATCTACATATATTACTAGTAATAAACTGGATTATCTGCTTACACAGGCCGGAAAGAAATCTCAGTCGAAAAAAAGCACAATTCATCTGTTTTTAATTCTCAAGTCAATATGATTGGCCAGAGAAGAGATGCCATTGCCCATCGAATACTCTCAGCCAGGCTTCACAAGATTAAAGAGCTAAAAAATGAATTAGCTGATATGCATCGGAAATTGGAAGCCATCATTATAGAAAATCATTTTTTGAAACAACTTCAGCTTAGGCACTTGAAAGCTATACGAAAATATGAGAATTCACAAAACAATCTGCCTCAACTCACAATCAAACACCAGAATGAAGTAAGAAATTTAAGGCAATTACTTAGGAAATCCCAGGAGAAGGAAAGAGCTGTATCCAGGAAACTCAGAGAAACGGATGGCGAGTTATTAAAGACCAGAGATACCTTGCAGGCTCTACAGAAACTTTCCGAAGACAGAAATCTTGCAGAAAGGGAAGAACTGACTCAAAGATTATCTGCTCTTACGACAAAAATGGAGGCAAATGACAAAAAAATACAGGTCGGTATTTCAGAAACCTAGAAATGTTAAGTCCTCACAATTAATACAAAGAGCACCCATTGATCACGTTGGCCCCTGTTTCAGAGCATCACCAACTGCTCAGCTTGGCATGCTGCAGATGGTGACTGGTGGAGGCCAGGGCAAGGGAGAGGCTTAAAGAGAAACAGGAAAAGCTCCGACTGGAGAGGTCTGCTGCCCCATTGCAGGGAACGCGAGTTCACTCTGGAGCTAGACGATATAACTGAAAACCAGGCTGCCCCCAGGCAGGAGGAAGACCTGGCGAGTGTGGAAAGGCTAACCCGCCTTGTGCAAAACCTCCCTTTCAAATCAGCCCTTTATGAACTGTTATTAAAAGCCTGCCCCACCAAAATCTGAATGTGGCACCCATTCAGCCCATTTTCTTGTCTTCTCCCTCATCWGTTTGGCCCATCATTACCAAATAGACATTTTTAGTTGTTTTTTTAAATAGGAACTTTTCCCAGAATTCTCCCTGGAACAGGAAAGAAAAAGGAATTAAAATAACTGATGAGTGAATTGACTTCTTCAACAGCCCTAAGTTGTCAGAAGCCTGGGTACATTAGAAGGAAAGAGTTGGGAGAGGGCCCTGATCGTGTAGAGAAGTGTCCTGCCATATTGCATTGAAGGAAGTTTGGGTTTCTATGGACATAAGTGGAATTCATTTACTGTTTAATTCTTTGATATTTGATGGCAAGAGACAAACATTTTCCATGATCTTGAAGTAAGTAAATATCAAATTCATTCCATCCATGTTTTTTTTAATCTCAGTTATTTCTTCCTTTTGAAAATTCTCTACTTACAAAGAGAATTGTCTCAATAAAATTGATGTACGAGGTATAATAACTAGTGAGAAACCTCTGTTTCACTATTGTATACCAAAGTCATATATTTTGCCTTTTGGCTAATATTAGATCCATCTTAGCATATGTCTTTCATGTAAAAGTAAATGTATTTTTATCTTATCTACGTATTTTATATATAAACGTTTTAAGTCGTTTATTTTTATACCTATAGACAAAAGCAAAGCAAACTTCAGAATTAGCTACTTCTTGGCTATCAGAAGCACATGATAATGTGGGAAATTTTGGTTTGGTCACAGGGCATTTAGTGGAGGAGAAATTTCTGTGAATCAAAACATGTAGGTAGGTATTTTTTAACTATGAGTATTTTAGAGAGTGAGATTTTTAGTGTGATTTCATCTTTTGAGCTTTCTGTTTTCCACTCTTCTTTAATGTAAAAGTATCATTGTCATAATGGGAGGACCCCATTTCATGTAAAAAAGAAAAAGCCCTTCAGCCAAGCCTTCTATCAAAAGTTCAGAACAGTTCTCTAGTAAAACAGTGGCAGGAAGCCCGTGAATCCACGCGTAGATGGTGACCAGGTTACCTTGCTGTTATCCATCTGTGTGGACACACGGTGAGTCCCCCTTACACCTTGTAGCATCTGCAAATGGCTGAGACCRACAGTCTGTGCTGAGCTGATCCCCCTGTAAGAAGGGTAGAGAGGTTCTGAAAGAGGACCCCATGCAGAGTTGGCAGAGTAGTTCAGTTAGGCAGCACTGCTTAGGTTTATATCTAAAGTATGACATGATATTTATTGATTTTTCAGGATATGTCCAAATTTTTGCCAAATTCCAGAATGATTTAAAAAAAAAAAAAAAAAAAAAAAAAACACTGGGACATAGAACTCAAAGCATGATATTTATTCTCTAGAAATGAGATCTGAGAATTTGGAGGAGGGCCGGGGTGTTAATTGGTTTTAATCTGTGCCTGCTAAGCAAGCCATTTGCTAAATTGTATTAAAAATTTGCAACTTCTCATAAATGTACTTAGTTCCTTTGTAATTGAAGTTTTTCATAATGCCAAATTGGTTACAGAATAGTTGAAATATATACTGCTTTCAGAGCTTGGAAAAACAGCTGAGGTTGAACAATCGAACCTTCAATCGGCAGCTGGCTATCGAAAATCGGAAGACTTTAGCCGCTTTTGCAGCCACAAAGACTCTGCAGATGGAAGTCAAACGCCTGCAGCAAAAACTCAAGGTATGTCTTTCAAAACAACACATTAGAACACTGTGAAATTCTGTGTCCCCAAATATCAGAGCCATTTGTATCTATTATGCCTTCAGATTGTTTAATATCATGTGTTTCCTAAGATCTTTCTTTCTTTCTTTCTTTCTTTTTTTTTTTTTGGTACCAGGGATTGAGCCATATCTCCAACTATTTTTTTATATTTTATTTAGAGACAGGGCCTCCCTAAGTTGCTGAGTCTGGCTCTGAACTCACAATCATACTCATGAAGTATTACAGATGTGCACCATTGCGCTCAGCCTTAAGATCTTGGTCAGACAGATCTACAGCTGTTAGAATGAGCTCACATCCTGGTGAATATGTACTGCAATTAGAAAAATTAAAGTCCTGTTCCATTCACTCATAAGACTTCTTATTATCATTTTCATTTCATCACATTAAGTAATATTATTGCATTTTGTTAACATTTTAATGTAGTTCAAAATAAGTCTTTAAATTTAAAAAAAATAACTTATAATATCATAGTATTAAGGGTACATGTTAATGGTCCATAAATTTATTTAAGGTCTCACTTGAAAAGACCTTTGCAAAACTATCTTTTGAAGTCTACACAATGCTTTAAAAATAAGATTTAAAAAAAAAWTTTTTTTTCCTGTGCTGGGGATCAAACACAGGGCCTCACACATGCTAGTCAAGTGCTCTACCACTAAACTACATCTGCGGCTAGCCTCAAGAATTTTTAAAATATTTCTTTTTACAGTTTGCTATCCCTCTGTCTTCAAGATTTCTAAAATGTCCAATGATTTGGAAAAGCTAGAGAAGACAAGGAAGAAATACCTATTTTGAACCTCCACTAATAAAAGTTAAGCTTCACTCTTTGGGACAAGGATGTTTGGCCTTTATAGGCAAGTAGGGAATTTTGACTTCCTGGGAGCCTTAGGTGGGAACACCCAGAGACAGGGAAGGAAGAGGGCTTGTAGACATAAATTCTCCTTTGTAAAGTAGAGAAGAGTTTTTCTGCTCTTTTTTTTTTTTTTTTTTTTCCTCTCTGTAGTTTCAGGAAACTTAAGAAAGAATGTGCCAGAAAATGGACATGGCTGAAACAACCAGCTTAGAAGTCTGACAGAGAGGCTTCAGGACCCACTGGTCAAGGCAAACATACATGTGGAGACATAATCAGGGGATTTTTAAATAAATTGCGTGCTTTCTTATACAGCTATATGAATATAAATACTGTGCACTAAAAACCCTTTCTGACAGGAGAAATGCTTAGTACTTACTGAGATGCTTAGTGAAAAGAAAACCACAAAATTCTATATAATAAGATCCAAATTAATATTTAAAAAGGAAAGTAAATGTATCCTGCATAATATATTTCAATGCATCTGTGAAAAGGAAGAGATTTGGGAATGTAGCTCAGTGGTAAGCACTTGCCTAGAATGCCCAAGGTCCTAGGTTTGATCCCCAGCACTGCCAAAAAAAAAAAAAAAAAAAAAGAATCTTTATGTACTGTTATGAAGTAATCTCTAGGGTATATGGGTAAGTAAAAAAAGGAGGAAAGTTGCAATATGCTACCATTATGGTTTGGATGTGAGGTGTCCCCAAAAAACTCATGTGTGAGACAATGCAAGATGATTTAGAGGAGAAATTATTGGGTTATGAGACTCTTAACCTAATCAGTTAATAATCCCATTATGGGATTAACTGTTGGTAACAGAAAGTAGGCAAGGTGTGTCGGGAGGAGGTGGGTCAATAGGGGCATGCATGCCTTTGGGGCATATATTTTTTATCTGGCAAGGGATCTCTCTGCTTTCTGATTGCCGTGTCCTGAGCTGCTTTCCTCCACCACACTCTTCTGCCATGATGTTCTGCCTCACCTCAGGCCCAGATCAATGGAGCTGATTATCTATGAACTGAGACCTCTGAAACTATGAGCCCCCAAATAAACTTTTCCTCCTTTAAAATTGTTCTTGGTCTGTTAGTCACAGCAGTGAAAAATTGACTAAAACAGAAATTGTACCAGAAGTGGGGTTGATGCAGTGACTAATCTGATCATGTGGTTCAGAAGCTTTTGGGGCTTTATGGAATTTGCAGGAGGAATTTTGAGATGCTTAGTCATTCAACTGGAAATGCTTTAGATTGTTGTAAATTGAGCTTAATAGCAGATTCTGGTGGGAGCTCAGAAGACCAGAATGTCAATAAGACTACAGACAGTGAAAACAGGGCTCCAGAAGGTTCAGACAAGGAGGACTTTATTGGAAATTGGACTAGAGGCCATTCATGTTATGTTCTGGCTGAGATGTTGTCTGCATTTTTCCCATATCCTGAGACTTTCTGTGAGGCTGATTTTGAAGTAATGGACTTCTTAATCTGGAAGGAGAAATTTCTAGGCAACATAGCATGATGCTGGTGGCTTTTAACCAAGTTTATTGTGTTATTCAGGTGTAGAAAGACTTGAAAAACTTGGACTTCAAAGGTGGGAATAAAACTGGGGCTAAGGAAAATGAATTATTAAAGACATTATTGCCACTAAAGAAATTCTAAAGTCTTTGCCCAGAGGCAATAAGAAAGATGGCTTGAGGCTATCTCAGGAGCTGGCAAGACCATACCCATCTCAAACTCAAGGGAGTAAAGGTGAACATTTTCTTGAAAAGAGACCAGTAGGGTACCCTTCTCACACAAGGGGACCTATGAAGTTTTTTCAACATGCTCAGCTACCCAGGCACTCAGAGGCTGCTGCAGCTAGTATCCCTGGAAGCTTGGCTACTGCTGGAGATGGCAGGGGACCTTGACATAAACCATGTGGTACTAGTTCTGCAGGAATGAAGGGTGCTGGGGGCTTCCACCATGATTTCAAAGGAAGTCCTGGGAAGTCAGGCAAAGTGCAGCAGGGTCAGAGTCCCTGCAGGTACCCCCTGAGAGGGCAGTCCATGGAGATGTGAAGAGGAAGCTGAAGTTGCAATGGAGACCCCAAAATTAAGAAATGCCAGTAATGTAGGACATCATCCTAGGAAAGCTACAGCAATTGGGCAGAGACAAGCCAACATAGAGGCCAAGTGGGCTGCAACCAACAAGGCCACAGGGACAGATCTATACGAGCCCTTTGGACAGAACATCATGATGCCATGAGCTCCAGATGCCAGTGAGCTACAGGACTTGTCTGCCCAGCTGGGTTTTGCTCTGTTTTGATCTCAGCATCCTTCTTTCTATGCCCCCATTTTTCTGAATGGAAATGTTTACTCTGAATCTTCATAACTGGATACTTGTAAATTGTTTTTGATTTTTACAGAACTCACAGCTGAGTTTGCCCTTAGTCCCGAGGAAACTCTGGACTTGAATTTTGGGGCAATCTTGGAACTGTTTGGGGATCTTGGAATGGACTAAACGTATTTTGCATTGTAAGAAGGTCACGAGCTTTTGGAGGTAAAATGTGATGGCTTGGATTTGAGGTGTCCCCCAAAAGCTTTTATGTGAAACAACACAAGGTTTAGAGGAGACGTGATTGGGTTATGAGAGTCCAAACCCAATTCTCCTGCATTAAGCCTCTGCTGGATTAACTGAGGGATAATTGAAGGCGTGTTGGGTGTGACTGGAGGAGGTGGGCACTGGGGTGGGTGTATATTTTGTATCTGGTAAGTGGAGACTGTCTGATCATCACATAAGCCACGCCCTCCACCACACTCTTCTGCTACAATGTTCCCTCAAGTCCCAAGGAATAGAGCCTGCTATCTGTGGACTGGGACCTCTAAAGACATGGTCCCCAAAATAAACTTTTCCTCCTCTAAAATTGTTCTTGTTGGGTCTTTTAGTCACAGAAGCAAAAAATGCTGACTAAAACAGCTACCACTTTAGAAAGGGGAGGCAATACAGATTTCCCATATATTTGCTTATATTTTTTTTTAAAAGAGAGAGTGAGAGTGGAGAGAGAGAGAGAGAGAGAGAATTTTAATATTTATTTTTTGGTTCTCGGCGGACACAACATCCTTGTTGGTATGTGGTGCTGAGGATCGAACCCGGGCCGCACGCATGCCAGGCGAKCRCGCTACCGCTTGAGCCACATCCCCAGCCCTATTTGCTTATATTTTAAGGAGAAAAAGAATGGGATAGAAGAAACAGTCATAGAATCTAGATTTCTTTAATATATTTTTGGTAAATTTGACTTTACAACCATACTAATATTTTGCAAAATTATAAACCAGAACTGAATGTTAAAAAAAAAACTAAAAACCTATCCCCCAAATCCAAAGTAAGATGAAAAAATAAAATGAACTCAAATTTATATTCCTTTGATGGCATAATGTCATGGAGAAAAACAATTCCAAGTGATTTCATTTATTGTATGTATACTGTATCACATACATACATGAATTGTATTATATTACAACCAAACACTGTATTATATATTGTATGTGATTTATTGCATGCAATTAAATACACTGAGATGCACTGTAAGGTCAAAAAAAATCACTGTTTTTAGTAGTGATAGTGTTGATATTGTTATTTTGAGAATGTAGTATTAATCCCTATGGAGCATGATGAATTATGTTGGTATCATTGAGAACTAGGATTTGGGGATGTAAGAAAGAAAACACAAAACAAGAAAAGGTAAACTAAATTAACTAAGGTTAACTATTTTTGACCTTTCCTATATTGAACTCTTCCTCTCTCTCACCTGACAAAGTTCCAAAATTCTAATCAGAGCCAGATCCCATCCACAAGAACTTCCCATTTAGAACTCTGTATAGGCCCCGCCCTGGAAGTGCATCAATCTAGTCTGTCCAGACAAAACTCCAATGAACAGCCATGGCCCTTCCATCCTGCTTTGCACTGGTGATAAGGGAAGCTGAGAGCCATCCCAACCAGCTTCGAACCCAGACACCCCATTGGCAGCTTGGCTAGTGACACAAGAGAAGGAAAGGTTTGCCAATCCCAGCTCTTGCTCTAAGGGGTGCACAGCCCAAGAAGAGACTCTGGCATAGACTTTGAATACCCACCACTGTCCATGCTTTCAG